ATGGAGAGCTTCCTGTTGTGCTGGATGCCACACTCAGTGCTTTAAACACATTATCTTGTTTTATCCTGTCTGCAGTCCATGAGGTAGGAACTATCACTGATTCGAATTTTGAAATGAGGAAGGTGATGCTCAGAGAGGTTGGTCATATATTCAAGACGACACAGCTAATAAGATTTGAATCTGGCCCTGGCTTCAAAGCCCGTGTCCCTAACCATTACACAGCACCGCCTCCTCTTGTATGACTGCCCCGTCTGCACTGGACTGAGGTCACATTATGTGGGTGTATTAAGGCTCCAGTGAGATGATTAGTGTTTGTTCCCTGTCTTTGCTGCCTGTGAATAACCTGCGTTCTTCTTGGATGCATGTGGACTTGTCAGTGATATTCATAAAGTAACCCTAAGGGCCTTTATTAACTAAAAGTCAGAAAAACCGTCTATTCACCATAATTAGCTCTGGGGGCTGCAGTCTGCAAGAGACTCTCCCTTTCTAAGTTTTCCAATTTTAGGAGAGAGGATATAGCTCAATGGTAGAATGCATGTGAGGCATGCACAAGGTACTCAGTTCAATCTCCAGGATTGTTAAATAAATAAACCTAATTGCTTCCTCCTCCCTGAAAAATAATAAAAATCATAATAAAATAAATACACAAATTGGCCTAAGTTTTCTAATTTTATAATACTTGCCTTAAAAAATGATCATGGATAAAATTAAGAAAGAACCACAACAAATATTGTTAGGTTTGAAAAAAAGCGAGAACTTGGAGATCCTGGATGCTGCTTCTAGCTCTGTCCTTGGCCATGAAAACTCTTAACCCCTCAGCTCCCTCCTGTGTAAAGTGAGGGACGAGACCACCTTCTACCTTCCTTCCAGCTCTCACATCCTATGATTCTAAACCCAAGTTGACAACTCCTCAGACACAGTGTCAATCCCCATCTCCCTGGATTCTGGCCCCTGCCATGGAAGTTCCCGTCTTCCCACTGTGCTGCGGGCATGTTTTATCTTGCTCATGTCCTTCTCTGCTGTATTTCTTTTGCTTTCTTACTAATGCATGAGTTGTACAGGAACTCGTTATAGTGAATCATTTCAACAGCTCAGGCAGGGATTCCACCAAGTTTGGTGGAAACTCTGCTTGAAATCTGTGACTTTCACAATGAACTCGAATCTCCATGCCTGGTTCTCTTCTTACAGTGAAATATGTGCCAGTGAATTGGATGGAACTACTTTTTGAAATTTAAAATAATAATAATAATAACTATCATTGATCAACCGCTTGCCTTGTGCCAGGCATTGGACTAAGAGATTTGCGAACGTGATCTCATTTAATCCTCTCAAAAACCCTGTGGGGAGACGGCCTACAATTATCATCATCTCCATTTTACAGATCAGAGGGCCCAGGCTTAGAGAGGTTAAGTAATTCACTGTTTGTCTTTGAACGTCGCTGGGATTTCTGTTTTAGTTATCTATTGCTGTGTGACAAATCAGCCCAACATGGACCAGCTTAAGACAACCACCGTTGTATCCTCTCTCATCGTTCTGTGGGTTGACAGCTGGTCAGTGCTTGTTTGGGGTCTCTTAGATGGCAGTTAGGCTCAAGCAGGACACTGGGACGCCTGGGCTTCTCTCTTTCTTCATGTAGTCTGGTGTCTTTCTGTGTAGCACCTACACACAGCCTCTTCACCTAGTCTTCCCACAGGGTACACCGGACTTCGTACAAGACTATTCGAGACTTCCAAAAGCACACAGTCAGACCTTCTTAACGCCTAGGCTTGGAAATCCCAGAACATCACCTCCACTGCATTTTGCTGGCTAGGGTGAGTCACAAGCCAGTCCCTGTTCCAATGGGGGGCCGTGTCCGGGTGGGGGTTTGGGAGGGCCTGCCTCTGGAGGTGGTAAATGACATTGAAATGGGGCACTTAGGAAGTGAGAGACCTTTGGACCACTGGTGAAGAGGAAGCAGGAGAATCTGGGAAGTAAGGGGGAGAGGAAACTGGTGATACTAATCAACAGAAGTATAAAAAGAAAGGAGAAGAGGGTACTTCAGGGTTTTGAAACATGGTGTTAATTTTAATACAAAAAAAACTAAGAATAACCAAATAATCTTGGAAAAGAAGAACAAAGTGGTAGAACTCACATTTCCCAGTTTTTAAAATAACTGCAAAGCTGAAGTAGTCAAGACAGTGGGGTTCTGGCATAAGGACAGACATGTAAATCAATAGAGTAGGACTGAGAGTCCAGAAATAAACTCTTGCATTTATGGCCAGCTGACTTTTAACAAGGGTGCTGAGACAACTCAGTAGGAGAAAGAATCATCTTTTTAATCAATGCTGCTGGACCATTGAATGGGCACATGGGAAAGAGTGAAGCTGGATCCTTTCCTAGAACTGTACACAAAAATTCACTCAGTGGATTATAGACCTAAAAGTAAGACATAAAACTCTTAAAAGGAAACCTAAGGGTGAGTCACCATGACCTTGGCTTAGGCAAAGCCTTCCTAGGTACAACACCAAACACACACACAAACAAAAAATTAACCAATTGGAGTCATCGCTTTAAAGGAGTGAAATTTTTTTTCCCCAAAAACGGGGAGGGGGGAATGCTTATTAAACCATGGCCTATGGAAGAAGGCTTTTTCATGCACTGTCAGTGGGAGTCTAAGTTGATTCAGCCTTTTTGTTGGGCGATTTGGTGGTACCTATCAAGGTTATAATAAAAGCTAATGAAAAATAAGAGCTAATACAAGACAGTAGTAAGACTTCATAGAAATAGAGCTTACTTTCTGTTGGGCACCATTCTAGGTGCTTTATTCAGCTAAACTCATTTAGTGCTTAGAACATCCTATGAGACAGGTACTATTCTTTTACAGATAAGGGAAATAAAGCAGTGAGAGGTTAAGTAACTTGCCAGAGGTCACACAGCGAGTCAGGAGAGGAGATGGGATTTGCACCCACACAGTGTGGCTCCGGGGACTGAACGCTGCCTCACCCAGTGTGCCTGTCCTTGGACCCAACAATTCCATGTCTAAGAATCTATCTTCTAAGCCTCTGGCACATGTACACAAAGATACATCATTCAGAACATTCACCAAAGTATGGCGGCAATACAGGAAAATTGGAAATAACTTAAATGTCCATTAAAAGGCCATGTGGAACCAACATGTGGTTCATTTTTACGATGAAATATAATTAAAGGAGCTCAATCCTGATGTAGGAAGCTATTCAGGACAAAAACATCTTGCAAAACTCTATCTAATCTCTATGTATCTATCTTGCTTTAGCAGAACAAAAGATTCACGACTTTTACACAAGTGTGTGTAAAACCCCCAAATGTGAGAAGTCATCACCTCTAGAAAATCAGATTAAGAGGAATGAAAGGAAGACTTTTACTTCTTGCTCTATATATGTATGTGTTCCTTTGAGCTTTGAACAAAAACATCTACGACTCTATAATTGAATTTAACTCTTGTTTAAAGAGAAAGAGATCTGCAAGGCTATTATTCATGAATCTTCTCTCAAGAAGGACTGTGGGCAGATGCTTCTCACCTGGGTGGTTCTCACAGCTCCACCTCTTCCCAGGTTCTGGTAGCCCAGCGTTTTCACTCCTGACCTATTGCTCTTCCTTCTCATGGTTCCCAAGCAATTTGCCTTCTCGCCTCTCTCCTCTCTAACTGGAATATCTTTCCCTGCTGTCATCTGGTTGCCTCTTCTCCATCCTTCAGGGCTAAGTTCATGAGTCACCTCCTCTGAGAAGGCTTCCTTCCTTCCTCCCATGCCAAGACTAAGGGCCCCTGGGTTCTCCTGTAGAACCCTACGTTTACCGCTTTCACTGCAGCTACCCTGAATGATAATTTTATCTTTTCATTGGTTTCTACAATAGAACCCGTAGAGTAAGGGGTTGTGTTTTTCATTTGTGTTTTCACTCTGCCTGGTACAGAGCTGGTGCCTAATAAATGCTCCTCAAGAGGTGGAATAAATAAGTGAATGAATCTTTACCAGGAAGAAAATATCGACCCCCTTCCCACTCTAGCTGTATCATCACTGGAAGCTGGATATAGATTAAGCCCACATGTGAGCCCATCAATTTATTCTACCCCATCCTAACCTCTCTCTGTATGAAATGTAGGGCCCCAGCTTCATGGATGAGCTCAGAAGGGTCCTGCCTTTAGTTTAATGCTCCACTGGCGCCATCTTGAAATTCTTAATGCTTTCGGAACGAAGGACCCTGCATTTTTACTTTGTACTGGGTCCTGCCAATTTTGTAGCTGATCCTGAAGCCATGTGTGCACTTGCTATGATGATGGGGTCTCGAGTCATATCGGAAACCTCTGTGGGTTAGGAGGCCCAGATGACAAGCAGGTGGATTCTGTCCACCACAATCCGGCAACCTTCCCACCTTGCTGTGGTACCTTTAATAACTGGCTGAACTCTCTGTGCCCTAATCGCATGCACGCAGACCCTGCATGCTGGGGACTTCAGATACCATCTTAACCATTTTAGTTTTAAGAAAAAGTAAGGAAACACATTCTGAGAATAAAGCAGAACTTAAATTTTTATGTTGTCAGCACCAATAAAGGGCATCTCTTATTTTTTCCATATAAATCCTGTACAATAATGAACTGCTATTACTTCCAGCTTTTATGTGACTTTTCCTGAAAAACCCTGAGTAGGAGGAGATAGCATTTTCTTCTAAATCGATTACATTTTCCCATTGCAGGAAGTTTAAACAGAGCTTTGTCAACAAAGCTAGCTTCCCTTCCTTAGAATTTCTCAAGAGTGCTTCTCAGTAACACTTATTTTTCATCACATTCCATGAATTTTAAAAAGGGAGGCAAAATCAGAATCAAGACTGTGTTTGGATTTTTTGATTTTTCTTTTTGTTCGTTTCTGTTGTTTTTCGGTGAGAACCTCTGTTGACCGTGAGCTTCTAGATTTGGTGGTGGGGGGTTCCTTGGAGGGTAAAGTCTCATTCGTCTTTTAACCTAGGCTCACACACAGGAAACAGGCTTTCTTTGGGAATCCATCTTTATTACGATGAAGCAACAAAGGGCAGCCCAGGAAAGAATTTAATTAAGACTAGAATTCTGAGAAGAATAACTTTTTCTTAAAGCAGAAGTGCGAGGTTTTCACAGATTTCTTTCAGGGGGATATATGGTTCTTTGAAGCTGGAAAGAATCTTTGCTTTCACCCGTCCCCAGGCAGCTGGGGAGCCAGGAAACTCAGGCTGAGAAGATGGAGCAGCGACATAGAGGCTCTGAACTCCAGGTGACACTGTGCTTAATGGTTTACGTGCACTTATTCATTCCAATATTGACTGAGCACCTACTGTGTGCTGGCACGCTGCTGGGCACTGGGGATATAACAGTGAACAAAGTCCCCAGGCTTCAGGATCTTACATTCAGTGAATCCACATAATGACCTTTTGATGTCAGCGTTATTGCTACCGCTGTTTGGCAGAAGAGGAAACTGAAGCTAAACGTGGTAAAATAAAATCTGCCCCCAGATCACACATCTAGTAAGTGGCTGAGCAGGGATTCAAACTCAAGATTCGTGTGACTTTGCACAACCCATGCTTTCCACCCCTGGGGTTTGCAGTGCCTCTGAAAAAGGAAGTACTAAGGACAACCTAGAGGGGTGTTCCGAGGCCAGAGAATGAAAAGCTGGTAAGGTCCTTAAGTGCAGAGAGTGCCCTGGGAATTTGAGAAAGTGTAAATAAAGGAGCCACGAACACCTTAACCACTCGGTGGCTTGAGAACCCATCTAAGGTTGGCTTGGAATCTTTCCCGCTAATCCAGGGCCAGTGTTTCCTTTCATAGAATCATCTCGCTTTGAGGGCTCCAGGTACATATTTGGGAAATTCATGTGCATAAGGGACACTACCCTTTCCACCCTTTGCTGTTTGTACGGAATCCTGCAATAAGAGGATAAACACAGATGTTTGCAGAGAACAGGTCTGGAAAGTATAGTCATTGAAAGGGTGAAGGTCATTAACTTCTCTATTTGCTCCCCCTCCCCGCTACACGTAGAGGAGTTAACTAACGACCCTCCAGGTAAAAAGGGACACGAGCACAGTGCCTGGCGCAGGATATTAATTCAGTAAATACGTGGAAAATGAATGAATGAATAATTTCAACTCATCGTCACGTAACAAGCAGCCAAAACAATTACCCTGGACTCAGCACTTCCCGAAAGCTAACGGAATTTTTTCAAGCACGCAGCTGCCACTGGAAAATCAAGGCAGGTAAACATATCCCTCAGGACCTTCTTTGAAATGCAAAGACTTGCAGGAAAATGTGGAGCTCCGAGAAGGTCAGAACTGGTTGTTTTGCAGTCTTTCTCCTTGTGCTCCTAAGAAGTCAGAAAAATCCAGGGGGGGCCCAGGAAGATGAGACTCGCCGGGATCAAGACAACTCTGTCTACAGGATCTCACTCCACCTGAAATGAAAATGTTGGCTTACCCCAGTTTCTATTTTCCAAGACAAACGAGGACTTAAGTTCAGAGGATAGATCATTAAATACACTAACTTCCCCCAAGGGAGAACATGATGGGTTTAAACATTGTTACCTATTAACTTAGCTGTTTAAAAATACACAGGAGATGAGCTCTTCCTAACCCACCAACACACACACAAACACACACACACACATGCCTCTGTCATTGGAATCAAATCATATAAATGCAACTGACTCACTTCTCGACTGGAACCTTCCAAAAAGGCATAGTGATCTGAATTTCATTTTCAGCAGAGTGAGGAGGACACAGCTAAGAAAGAATGGCATTTTCAAAGCTCCCCACCCCTGAGCATGAATCATTTCTAAGTTGCCAATCGGTCCTCCTTGGTTTTGTCAGTCTGTCTGTCCTGGTGCCATTTATCAAATTTGGAGATCCTATTGCACATCGGATTGGCTTTGGAAGCTATTTGCCACACTGGTGCAACTCCTGTGACAAATCTTTGAAATTGGCATCTCCTCTGGCCTCTTGGAGTGTCCTGGACGCTTAGGTCTCAAACTGCGGATTTTGAGCTTGGTGTAGAATTTGGGGAATGAGGGACTTGAAAAATAATACACCAGGGGGTCCAGCATGCTGTTCATGTAGGTGAAGCTGAGGGTGATGTGGAGGGCTACGTGAACAGAGGAATCGCAGGCACTGGAGGGCACCGTCCAGAGGAAATATAGTCTGGCCGCCACGCTGGGCAGGTAGCAGGTGATGAACACAGCTGCCACCACCACAATGACCCGCATAGCCTTCTTCATCCGAGTCTGCCTGGCCAGGTGCTGCCTTTGCTGCAGACTCCAGATGATCTTGAAGGAGCAAAACAATATGATGCCAAGGGGCAGAAAGAACTCCAGCTGGAACATGACATCATGCCAGCCGTTGGCCGACTCCATGATGAAACTCTCACAAGCTATGGTCTTCCCCTGCGTGCACAGATGGTTCTCCATCAGAAGATACAGAGTCCCCAGGATGAGCATGGTCCAGAGGGCACAGACGATGCCAACCGCGGTCCGGTTGGAGATGGAGTTCACCGTATGGTGGGGGTGGACCACTTTAAAATACCTGTCCACAGCCACCACCGTGAGGAAGACGGTGCTCCCAGCCCTGTTCATGGCCAGCATGAAGAGCGCCACCCGACAAGGAATGTCCCCAAAAGCCCATTGTCTGTGTCTGCGGTAGTAGTCTGTCCGAAAGGGCAGGCTTATCATGAGAAGGAAGTCGGCCACAGCCAAATTGAAGAGGTAAATAGTGCTCGGCTTCCAGGTCTTCATGTGGAAGCAGAAACCGCACAGGGCGATGCCGTTGCCCAGGGCGCCGAGCATGAAGGCCAGGATCAGTAGTGGCGGCATCACCTGGGAGATGGGGTCCCCCTGGATGAGGCAGCACGACCCGTTGTCCATGGTGGACAGAGGTCTGGTGTTCCGTGCGCCGGGCTGCGGCGATCCCACAACAACCCAGCTGCTTATCTGAAGCTACCACTCACCCAGCTGCTGTGTTTCCAGCTTCTTCACCCTGGGCTGCGAGTCCTGCACACGTGGGTGGAGGCGGCCACTGCATGGAGAACAGAAACTTCAGCCAGGAAATGAGAGACTCGGGGTGGTCCTCTCCCAGGAGCCTGGGTCACAAGCTGCCTGTCTCCCCGAGAGCCGAAGCATGTGGCGCCGCGGCGCTTTGAAACGCAGGTAGCTTCACCCAAGCGGTCATTTCTGGGAAACGGCTCACAGGTCCCATGAGAGTCATGCTGGAGACGAGCTGATGGGTTCTGCCCCAGGATGGTTTTTATTTTCAGCCTCTCTCTTTCTCCTCAGACTTTCTCTGAGCTGCAGAATAAGCAAAGCTACCCAGAAGGCACGAAAAAAAAAGCTTGTTTGTCCTCCCTCCCGGTGGAGAAATACAAACATTTCCTGGAGCTGTTCTGGGCCTCTGCCTTCACTTCCCTCCCTAACCTTTGCCTGACTGCCCCCTCCTCTCCCTCATCCCTTGGGGCGCTCGGAGGCGGTGCCAGAGAGGGGAGGTTTTGCTTTGCTGCTCCTTAGAGCCACTTCCTGTGCCCAGACCCAAAAATACAGGACTTAAAAATCAGAAGGATCTATGGAGGGAAAAAACATCCTTACAAACAGCACTTGTTGACTGTTAGAAAAATTCTCTCAAGTGAGTTACTTTTCCTCCCCTCCATTCACACCTCCTACCCTTTGCATCCTTCCTTGGACCCAAATGACCAGTTGCACCACCAGCAAGACCATGAAATAGATCTGAAGCTACTTCTCATGAAACAGCCTCTTTGGGAGCCAGGTCCTCCCTCTGCTCTGCTGTTAGCAGAAGGGGATTTGGCTCTGAGTTTCCCAAATTTGGCTGCTCAAAAGAGCCAAATGCCATGATCTATGTGTTTTTCATTTTGATTACATGCTGAGACCTTGGTGGGGGCAAAGAAGGGCTGGAGTAGTTGTGGAGTTTATTTCGAAAATGATTGTGAGTAAATTCGTCTGCTCCGAAGTCCAGAGTCTTTGCTGTAATTTCCTGTCCTTTGGCTTTAGAGATGATCTGATGGACCTTTCAGCTTTCAGGGTAGGAAAGGGTGAGAGGCGGGAGTGCATTGAAATAATGCGTCTGCCTTCTTCCACTTGCTGATTAAAGCTAAGTTCCTCCCACCGAGTCCTCCAAATGAGCCCGAGGACATTCCTTCTGTCCCGATTGGAGCAGGAATCGTCACCTCCCACTTGAAACTTTGGAGTCTCCTAATCAGTTTCCTTTCCTCTAGTCTATTTTCTGTAATTCCTCTCCCACACTACAATGTGATTTTTTTTTTCTAAAGCACATATTTTCTTTTTTTTTTTCCCTCTAAAACCCCTCAATCTGCCAGGGTGATTTCTGTCTGTCCTGCGAGCTGTGTCTGGACCAAAAACCAGTTTGATTTGGCCCACATGTTTTAAAAACCTCGGCCTGCCCTATAAAAACCTGGCTTTCCAGTCTCTCTTGGAAACTGGAAGATCTGGCCACACAGGGCCAACAATCCCACATGGTGACAGTCAGGTGGCACTGAGAGTAACTGCACCCTTGAGACAAGGCAAGAATTCTCCATTTTGCCACAGTCCCCACCACTCCCTGTTACCTGGTCAGCTTCACTCATTTACATGACTCATCTCTGTGGGATTTTAAGTTTGTCACCTCTGCTCTAGGTCACATTCCTCGGATCGGTAGACAGGGCCCATCACACATGGTTCCCAAACTCCTTTTCCAGCATCATTCTCCTGACCCTCTCCTCCTCACACCCTGCTTGCTAGTCTCCTAACTTCTGATAAATAAACATGTCCATCAAACGTCTACATTTAGCTCCCTCGGTTATCCAAGAGATCCTTGGCGATAAAGCCCGTGTTCTTGGCAGGAACAGCGTAGAAGAGGATCTGATGATTAACTCCTGCTTTTCTTGAGAGCACACGGTAGCCACTTCCCCTCTGTTGGCCTTTGTGATTCTATGAGGAGACGTTAAGTAACAGGAGGTACCCTCTGTAGGCTGGGACACCCCAGGATGAGGCTGGGTGGGTTACCCTGAATGCCTTAACGCGATCAGGCTGGAGTTTTCAACAAATGGCAGAGGTTCTTCATCCTGTGTTGGCAAATACTGTCAAGATTCTTGTAAACACGAACACGAGTGTTTCCCTTTTCCCAAATGACGGGCCCTTGCCTTTTCCACCTTCTTTCTGTCTTATCAAATCACTTCCTCCCTCTGGAGTTAGCAGAGGATTACAGACGAAAAGACAGGTTTCTCTTTCTCTGAACGTCTACTGTGGATAACAGGGGAGGCTGTGCATGTGTGGGGACAGGGGGTCCATGGGGAATCTGTATCTTCCCCTCAGTTTGGCTGTGAGCTAAAAACTGCTCTATCAAGTCTTAAAATTTTTCAAGCTCAGTTTTACTACTGATGGTATTTTTATGCTTACTTCTAGCTGCTAATTACAGTGCCTGATGCAAAATAGAGGCTTTATTGACTTAAAAATGTTTATTCAAGAAAACAAACTTATGGTTACTGAAGGGGACAGTGGGGAGGGGAGGGATAAATTAGGAATTTGGGATGAGCAGATACAAACTACTACATATAAAAGAGATCAAGAACCAGGTCCTGGTCTATAGCACAGGGAACTATGTTCGGTATTCTGTAATTTACCGTAATAGAAAAGATTACAGAAAAGAGTATGTGTGTGTGTAACTGAATCACTGTGCTGTACGCCAGAAACTAACACGACATTGAAATCAACTATACTTCAGTTAAAAAAAAAGTTAATTCAGTGAACCTTTGAGATACGTTAGCTAGATGCTTCAGGATCCCCAAAATGAGGAAGATATTGTCTGCTGTCTGGAGCTGAGTGTTTACTAGGGGAAAGAAGACAATCGCGTAAATAACAGTAAAGGAAAAGCAAACAGAGTAAGTGACTTAAGGCACTATTTTCCAAAATGTGGTAGACATGCCACAGATGATATGCGAGCTTATTTTAGATGATGGAGAATAATACCCACAATGTACTCTGACTTTATTGTGGTGACTTTATTTAAATACGCATTCAAAAAAATACAGCTGGTTTATTGGAGTCTTGTGAATGGAGGGAGTGAGGGAGAGCTGTTAAAATTTCTAGGGGCAGAAATAGAAGGAACAGACATTCTGGACAAAATGAGGAGCCTGGAAAAAGGAGGGCTGGAGGGGGTGTCTGAGGAATCTTCCAGAAGTTTGGGATTTGGAGTCTGTATCTTAGAATTATAAGGAATAAAAGCGGCCGTGCTGTCTGGGGCTGTTTTGCAGGGGACCTTGGATTATGTGGCAGCAGGGAACCATTTGTGGGTGAATTGTAAAGGAGTGGAGGAAATTGTGGAAAAAGCAAAAGGCTTTTAATATGTGTCCCCCACCCCTTCTCTAGCCTGTCCTGGAACCACGGTGCCGTCCACTCTGGTCACCTGGGATTTCTGCAGCCTCAGAGCCCGTGATTTGTCTCCCTCCCTGGTGGGTTCCGTGGTGAGCCACAGGGGGGATATGATCAAGGAGCGAGGTGTTCCAGATAACTGAAGCCTACTCCTTCACGTTTCTCTGATTCCACATCAGACGTAGGGAACTGTCAGCACCATCCATCAAATAACTCAAGCCATAAGCTTGGTTTCTTCCTCTTCCTGGCTTGCCACAATCTCCCTTCTGTTGTTCATTCACCCTACCTTATCGGAAGCCCCGGGGACGCCACTTCCTCCAACCCCCAAGGCTCCTCTGTTTCTCCCTCTCCAGTCTGGGTTAAACCCTCTCCTCTGCCCATTTCTGCCACCCTCACACTTACTGTGCAGCATTGATGGTTTCCTGTGCGTGTCCCCCCAGACCCTTGTCTCTGTGAAGCCAGCTCTGGGTCTGATTCAGCTCTGCATGCCCAGACTGTAGCCTGGCACCAAGGGGACCCTCAGGAAGGACGTGTTGAATACATGAACGAACTAGTGATCAAATGTGGCTTACTTATTCTCCTGGCTGTGAGAAGACGCAGGAAGGGTAGGTTCAAAGAATGACCGCACCTGCCAGGCTGATCTGGCGTGAGCTCAGGGCTCTTGGACCCCCACCATGCTGCCTCCGCTGATGTTTCTTCGTGAGATAACATTTCACTTTACATGTGACAGGGACAGGAAGTGGACATTCCTGCAGGGCTGCCCAGCAGGTGGCAGGAGGGGGAACTGTCTGTGTGGCAGCGTTTCGGGAAGGCACACTCCTGGGTGTGTCTCCTTCACTCCGGCACTGCGACTACACTCACAACACTTCGGATGCCAGGTGTATGGGATTTTTTTCCCCCACACCATACAATTGTCTGCAACCCGAGCTGGGTGTCCTATAATTCAATTCAATTCTGACTCTAATTAGAATTAGTGCAGTCCCCACAGGTTAAAGGCTCAGTCCCTGAAGACTGCCTCCCACTTTGGATGCTAATTGCAAGTGTGGGTCCCCTGGCTACCTACACCTTATGCCCGACTTGGCTGCAATTCGAGGTCCCCATGACACCCTTCCTCAGCTTCAATCGTATATGCTAGAACAGAACTCAGGGAAACAGTTACATTTGCCAGTTTATATATAACAAGGAATGTGATAAAGGATACAGAGGAGATACATAGGGTAAGGTCTGGAAGGCTCCTGACTGCAGGAGTTTCTTGCTGTCCCCGTGGAGTTAGGGAACCTCCTGGTTCATGAGTGTGTTCACCAACCCAGAAGCTCCCAAACATCGTAGAACGGGGTTTTTTATGGAGGCTTTATCACATAAGCACAATCAATTATTAACTCCATTTCCAGCCTCTCTCCCTTCTCTGGAGAATGGGGGTGGGGTGGGGGTGGAGAAGGGCCTGAAAATTCCAAGCTTCTAATCATGGCTTGGTCTTTCTGGGGCCCAGCCCTGCTCCAAGAGCCCACTGAGAGTCACTTTATTAGAACACAAGACAATCCAATCACCCAGGAAATTAATTCCGAGGGATTTAGGGCTTAACCAGGGGCAGAGACCAACGTGTATGTTTCTTGTTATTTCATAGGCAGAAATCCAGGGGCTTTGCTTTCCCCAAATTCCTTTCCCGGCCAGGGGTCTGAGTACTTGACCATGTTCCCTTTCTGTTGCTGCAGTCACAGATTGCCACAGCGTGGTGGCTTAAAACAACAGAAATGTATTCCCTCACAGTTCTGGAAGCTGGAAGTCTGAAATGAGGGCATCCTTGGGCTGTGCTCCCTCCAGAGGCTCCAGAGAAAGTGTTCCTCGCCTCTTCCAGCTTCTGGGGACTGTGGGTATTCCTCAGCTCACCACCAACTCATTCCAACTTCTGCCTCCTCTGTGATCACCTAGGCGCCTCCTCTGTGTGCCTCTTGTAAGGACCCTTGTCAATGGATTTAGAACCCAGGTGATCCAGGATAAGCTCATCTCAGGACCATTAACTCAGCCACATCTGCAAAGACTCTTTTTCCATATAAGGTCACTTTCACCGTTTTGGAGGGTGAGGATGTGGAAGTATCCTTTTGGAGGGGTGACCACTCCAACCCATTACAGCGAACTTTTCAACGTCAGTGTTGGAGCCTTAGAGTTCCTCTCTTCGCAGAACTATTTCAAAACGCCCTCTCTGAAAGGGAGGAAGAATTACTGACCGACTTTAAGGTCTAAATGATTTATCATGGTTTTTGTTTGTTTCCTGCTACAGCCCTGGGGACAGCTAGGGGCCTGAAGGTTA